ACACACACACACACACACCATAAATAATCCATCTAAACCTTCTAATGTCTAAATCATCTGCAGGCTCAGTGTCTCGTCTGTGTCTCACTCACTTCAGCAGGTTCTGGATTTCCACTTCATAAGCATCCTTCTTTAAGCTGTGAAGAATGAGCACAAGAACAGAACAGAAGACTGTCACTGTGTTGCCAAATCCTTTTCCACAAACAGTTCAAGAGCTCATAGTATGGAAAACAGCACATTAGGCAACCTGCTTGTACACACCTGTCAACATTCTTTAGCTGCACATTGGGAACAGTGTTGAACTTGTGCTTCTTGAAATATACCTCCTATGAGACAGAAAAGACAGGATGAATCAGACAGCATGTTAAGGTCATTTCAATTGAAAAAGCTATATATTGAGTGAGTTTCACCTTGAAAATGAAGAAAAACATTACACAGTTAGATTTTGTCTGTGACAGTGCTGATAGATCTCCTTTGTTAGCTAAATCCAAATTAGCATTATAGTGGTTAGCTGTTGTCTAGGTGCTATACACCTTTATGGTTTTAATGCAAATCATGAGATCACGAGAATGGGACAGGCAACACAAAAACATAAAAAAAAAGCATTTTTCTTTGAGCTCTCACATGGAAATAACCGTTCATGTTGAGGCCGATGATGCCGAAGTGGTAAGATCGCGACACGTCGGGGATGATGCACTCTCGGCCTTTCCTCTGCTCCGGCATTCGCATCCACATGTCCCAGTCCCACAGCTACGAGACAAACACAGTTCATTACATCTTCAGTCTCACACATATTTAAAAGTACCATGCAGGTGTTTTTTCATTGTGTATACTTTCTGCATTGTTGTTGGCTATTTACCAAATTATACTATACTTTCTAGACCGATTTCCTTCCTTCCTTCCTTCCTGTGTGAACAATGTGTTTTTAACCAAAAAGATCAAAAAGTAAACTGATAAATAATCCATTAGAGTTACTTTCATTTGCCATTTTTTGTCGACAGTCAACAGTTTTCACAACATCTGTGTTTGTTGTTTTACTTCTAACAATACGGCGTGGTGTAAGTGTCACACGTGATATACTTAAAGCTGCATTCATTTGGCCACTTGAAAGCAGCACAACATGCTGTATAAACATCACGTCTTATAGCTCTAGTCAATACAGAAATACATAAATAACAATGGTAACTAAATCCTAGTAATTTAGTCAGCCTTCCTGACTGGAAGGTTGGAAATCTATCTGGTTTGATTTGAAGACTAGTCAGCAAGGATGTAATATATACTCGACTTTTAACCAGTGTAGGAAAACACTCAGAAGCACAGGTTCAGGTTCTTTAAATTCAGAAAAGAAAACTCCTGCACCTTCTCAGGTGTCGGCCACTTTGGCTCCAGTTCGTCCTTGTAGAGGGTCTTCTTCAGCACCCAGCCCAGGCCGGGCATACTCTCCACTCTGTACAGCAGGGCCGGGTCCTCTGCTGTGTGCTCGTAGCCCTGTACAACAACAACGACAGCTGTCAGTGACACACGCAGCGTTTCTGTGGGCATCGAGTCTTCCCGCAGGTCATCAGTGGGTAGGAAATGAATGAAACCCCACTGAGGCAGGAGGAATATTAAACTAGGAGAGAAACCAGAGAATGGGAGATGTGTTCTATGTTTAGCAGCAGATCCTGTGGTGCTCCCCCCACCCCACTGTGTACGATGTTATGTTACACCCTCGGGTCAAAAAACAGATAGATCACCTCATCACATGTTCTTTTGTTAAGGTCACTCCAAACAATCCTAAAACGTATTAAAAGGTTCCCAGACATTTAGACGTCAGTTACGCAACTGTTAACAGCTACAGACACACCCCTGTATCTCAACAGGATGACAATATCCTGTAAGTCGTCATGCTTGCTGCTGTCTGAACTACGTGTAAAAGAGAGGGTGAAAAGAGTGGACAGAGAAGTCACATTAAAGAGATAGACAGGGGGAGAGTGGAGGCTTTGGGAGGAGGTGGGTGAAGCAGTCAGCGCTCACCTGGTCGTTCCAGGCGGAGATACAGTAAAGGCTCTCGTCCTCATTCAACAGGTGGATGGTCTGACTCAGAAAACTGCAGAAAAAGCAACATCAGTGCAGACAAAAGCGGCAACATCCATATTAATAACGACAATATCGCGATAAAAATGGGCAGTAAAGTGAGAGTAAAATCAGAAGAAATCACAGCATACTTAATAATACTTTATAAAGACCTTTGTGAGACATTTAGTACTGAATGTTTGTGCTGGAACGAAAATGTTCTATGAGGATTGTGCACCAATTTATCACTAATATATCTATACAAAAGGTACCAAGAATGCTGCTGTCTTAAACAAATAACTTTACTAAAGACTATTTAAGTTTAATATCTTCCTGCAGGGACATTTAAGTTAAATAATTGAACGTATACATTGTCAATCAATTCTAGTTGACATTGCAGAGAGCCGTTTCTTCTCGCTTACTTTGTGCCGCTTGTTACAGAGTTGGAAATCTCAGTGCACTCTGCCGGATAAACGTTGCAGTGACACCAATATTGACACCGCATATTGAATAATTTCTCCTTCCACTGGGAAGTTTCCCAAAATCAATCAATAAATGTAAGATAAACTCATCTTTCTATTTGTAAAATTGAATTCAGGACTTCATAAGGAATACCAGGCACCTTGGAAGAGCTGTGATTATAGGAGTAAAAAAACAATAACAGCAGGAGGCTTTGGTTTTAAGAGCTCTCTAACTGAGAGCTAACTGACATTAAAACGGAGCAAGATAAAGTCTGCGAGTGCTTCTGGACTATTTGAAGTCTGCGCTTCAAAAAGAGCCGGTCCGCCCAGGAGGGGAGCTGGAGCTTTTATAGCAGCAAAACACACAGTTCAAAGGAGAGTCTGTCCAACAAAGGAAGGCTGGAGTTCCTCACAGAGCTGATAGCAGCTGTATCACTGAGGATCTACTGCCACCTAGTGGGGGTTCTGACAGCTGGGAGGGTTTATGGGCCTGATGCTGTGAAGTCTAGAACAATGGGCTCAATATAAACACAACACAAACTTCTCTTTAGGATCATGAAAAATAACCAATAGAAATGACAATAGAAATGCTTCATCTAATGTCTTTGATGACATTATTTAAATGGCTGCAGTGAACAGCTGCTTTATTCTGTACATTCAGTAAACTTTAAAGGGACGTTCAATTTACCATCAAGTCTGACAAAGACAAGCGGTAAATCATCACATTTAAGCAACTTTGATGGAACCTGCAAATGTTTGGCATTGCTGCTTCATAAATGCCAGATTATTAAAATACCTGTTGCAAATCACCTGACTCATCATTTCTGCTCCACTCACAATACAATACAATAATAACAACACAAATCAGTTTCTGGACTTTTCACCTGCGATTCCATTTTCCACAACAGCAGACGTGGAGGAGACATTTTTATTAATGAGGTAACCGATAGAAACGATAGAAACCAAACACTTTACCTGGTCCGTTCCTTTAAAATATCAACCATATCTGGGTCTTTTAACATAACACCAGATACTGTTTCTCTCCCTCTCTCTCTTTGTGTGTCTCTCTGCAAGTCTGTGTGGGAAATACTGCTTTGAATGTTGATTACCATAGCAACGGTCGAACCTTATCAGCCTATCTTTAGTAGTGGTTGTGTGTTCTGGATGACGTACCTGAAGAAGTCGATGGAGATATCCAGGTCTTCTTCTAGGACAATGGCAAAACTGGCCTCCTGATGAAAACCAGAAATACTCCATTCAGTACAAGTCCAGCTATAACTGACAGGTATAAATCAATTAATAAACGGATTAATAATATTGTAAATAAAGTAAGAAAGTAGTTGGTCTTAATTAAGAGGAAAAAGCCACCCTTCTTTTACAGCCTGTGTAAAACCACACATCTTACTGCCACTCTTTAATGACATTAATGGAACTTTTTGTAGTTTGTCTTGACAAAAAGGAAACCAAAGTACTCACTGGGTGAAGGTTGAAGGTTGCAGTCAGACTCGCCTTGTAGTGCTGCGACAGAGAGCAGAGACAGACCGTTGATTCTCACAACACAAACTAAGAAAGGTGGAACTGCTGGAGGCTTCAAGTTACTTTACTGACTGGGAAATAAGGCTGAACATCATAACATTTTCAGTTCAGTGGAAACTGTAAAAATGGCTTTAGCTTTTACAAATCAGTGAGAATGAATAATAACTCTGTGTGTTAACCCTTAAATAAGGAGCTTAGTGTCTTTTACCTGGGACACTCTGGCGTTCTTGATGCTGATGGGTGTGTGCTGAACTCCCTTCAGTCCAAACAGCTCTACGACATCCATAGGCTCCTGGGTCGAGAACACACACACAGGGGGAGTATAATGTAAAGCAAACATCAAAATAACACTCACAGCTTACAGGGTTTTGGTGAGTGAAACGTTAATTAATTAATGTTGGCAGCAGTTTTCACAAATATGTTATTATATAACTCTGTAAATGGAAGATTAATTTTGACCAAACCTGCAACACAAAATGAAAGTTTCTTGTGGCTAAGTATTAAAAATGACATATATTTATATCTAAAGTACAGAGTATTTACCCCCGTAGTGCTATAGTGTTAGTTTAAGAGGAGCATCCTAACCCAAACAGATAGGATGTGAGAAAAAAAGGACAAAAACCTGGTACCTCATAATATCCATCAATGAAGACTGTGATCATCTGTGGGTTGACGCCGTGAGCTGAAAGGAGTGACCTTAGCATCCTGAAAACAGACAAGTGGTCATAAATTTACTTTAGGCACAAGAAACAAATGAGCGCAATTTCCTGTTTGGTTCTGTATCGCTGGATGACTGATTTGTTCCAATTTAACAAAAAGGTGGACAGCTAGATTGTAATGTCCCTTCATATAATTACCAAACGTATTTCTAAGGGAGGGGCTGCCATCTTTCTTCATCCTGCGTTCGCAATAGCAGCTCATTACAGCAGTCACCCCGTTTATAAACTGAGGTTATTTTCCATACAATCAATTTAAAATGACACGTAAAGCAGCGAGTCATTTACTCCTCGGTCTGTACGCCTCATTTATCTTCATTTGTTTGAATGTAAAACTCAGATGTTGAAATGCAGTTTATCTATGAAATAGCAACCAATATTTTTTAAAGATGACAATAAAATAAAAAATAAAACCTCCATTATACTTTACACCTTAGTTTTTCAGATCTTACCTGTAGAGATAGTTGGGTCTGTTCCCTGCTATGACGGCCACGGGGACACTGAAGACGTTATTGACGGGCAGCTGGACAAACAAAATATCACTGCCAGTTTCACAATGTGATGTCCTCAAGTTTAATTTTGACGTTAAAATGTAAAGTGAAATTTATTTTCTACACACAATGCATCTGTTTCCCCTCATCATCTCATCTTACTCAGGGAAAAAAAGTTGTTAACAAAATGAACACTAATTTAAAACAACAGTCCGATGCCCATCTGAATAGTGCAACAGGTTTTGCTTGCCGTCATCATCCCTTCAGAACACTGAATGAAAGGCAAATATCTATTAGCTATTCCTTTAAACTTCCAACTACATTTACTGTGCGTCTATAAAATATCATGCCAACAAGTAATCAAGATGCTTGAGTCATGCTTCGCTCCCTATTTACTTTTCAGGCTCTTCTGTCCTTCTCTATTATGTGCAGATCAATAAAACAGTCTGATCTAAAAGAATCCTGCTGTGTCTTACGGGGTCAGGGTTGAACTCGATGGGCGCCGGGTCTTTGCAGCTGCAGATGCTGCCGTATCCTTCCACTTTGCCGCAGAAGATCTTCCTCCTCCTGTTCAGCTCGGTGTCTGCCCAGTGGCACTCTGCCTCTGCAGGACGGACGACGGCGTTCAGTTTGTTAGCCGTTTATAAAGAAATCTCCATAAAGTGCTAGCAGGTGGGAAGGTGTATGCTTTCTTATAAGTGATTTGGCCGATTACACATATTGTACACTTGTCCAATAGAATAGAATTGTACTTTACCTTCAGAGGCGGTGAGCTGCACCTCAGTCTTCAGCAGGACCGGGTCTCCCCAGGTGGACAGAGCTGGAGACTTTGAGTGTTTCTCTCCATACACCTGACCTGAACCCCGAACACACAAAAACACACAGCCAGCAGGTGAAATCAGGTGATGTCACAAATCAAGCTTGATTAAAAGATTAAAATTAGAATACTTTTGAACTTATTCCTAGCCTACCCTTCTTCACTGAGCTCCTATTCTTTTTTTACTGTCAACTACACATGAAGTATGTAAACAGAGAACCTGAGAGAGAGCTGCACGTGGAGGAGGCTTGTTGTTAATGTCAGAATTCCCAACAAAGGCTGCAGCCAATAATACACAGCCTTTGAGTTGGACAGGCGGTAAAAACCTGGATAAATGTTTAAAAATGGAAAAAAGATAGATACAGAAGATATCTATCCTTAACAATTATTGATATATCTATATTTATTTTTCACTTGCCCGATCATAAAACTGCATGAGTCATTCTATTTGCCTGCATTAATGCTGGGCCTGGAATAACTGATAAATCATTAAATGCAATTATGTAATAAAAAGCTAAATAAAAAGCACAACTGCAGGAAGACAAAGCTAAAAAATGCTGCTCAAAATCCCTCCTCTTGCTCCACTGTTTTGTATGTAACATAATAAGTTTATAAGTTTTCTTGAAGACTTCATTTAGATCAAATTGAAAACGAGGTCAACTTAAATCAAACTTTGATTTACTCTTGTATCAACAAAAAGATCTGAAAGCTACAGCCTGATTTTCAATAAGCTGTGGGTCAAGAAAGCTGTTCAGGGACAGTTTCTGGACAGACCTATCACTGTTGAGTTATTTAAATGTTACTGTTCAATGCACTGGGGACCACAAACAAACTTGTGTTCACCTCCATTGTACTGCAGCAGAAGCAGGAGTTGTAGAGCCCAAAACATCAGGGAGTAAAATGACAAGACACCACTGAGGTGAGTGACTGTTATGGCTGAACACAAAACCATCCCACAGAATTACGTCTACTCAAAAGTGGAACTTTGCTGCTCTACCTCCTTTCTTCACCACCAGGGTCCACATGTCCCTCCAGCTGAGGTTGAGGGACACCTGGCTGCCCAGACTCTTCAGCAGGTTCTTAGCAGCATCCTTCAGGTGGAACGTGCCTTCGTCCTGCGGGACCAAAAAAACACGTTTCTCCACTTATTCATTCAGATCTTTCATTTAATTTGTCACCTGTCTGTATGACGCATGAATGCATCGTGAATAACTCATATCGGACGAGTGGCTGACCTTTATGGTGAAGATGAGGACTCGACCCCGGGTCACCATGTTGAGGAAGAGGATCATGGCTTCATCCTCATGGGGAGAGTAGGTGTCAAATATCCTCTTGGCCATCACATGACCCTGAGACACACACACACACACACACACACACACACACACACACCAGACAGTGACTGATGTATCTGAC